GGCCTAGGCTTGCTTAATTTCAGCAAAGCAAAGTGCATTTTTCTTTTTTATGTATCGGCATAATGAATGAAAGGAGTGAAATGTAATGGTATCATGAGGCCTAACCCTCAAATTGTGGCAAAACTCAACGCTATCATTGCTTAGATCATCTTAAACGACCTAGGCTGACTAATTTCATAATTGAAGTTATGTACACCTTTTAGATGAGATGTATCCATGACATGAAGGACTGGTAGAAGAGAGCTGACTTTTCCATTAAATTACACAGTGCCTTGTTTCCCAAAAGTTGTTCTCATTCCGGCTGGAGTGGACTGCAGTTTCGACCTCGCCTCGGTCTTATCAACACCCTCAGCGGGAGTCGAACCGTGCCAACGAGTCAGGTGAGCTTGACACGTTAACCACTCGACCGCATTGCCACGAGTGCTCTTGGCTCACCGGGCAGATGTGAATGTCAAGCAAGAACAAATCACATTCTTCGGTGGGATTGTCGATAAAGCAAACGTATTTTTGTATGCAATTCACATCTGCCTTGTGGCGCAAATTGAAAGACAACAAAAAATAAAACCGATTTTCACAATCTCTGTCGTGTAGCATGAACATACTGAACAACATTGTATGGTCAAAAGATGAGCAGAGCAACGGGGATCCGTCTCCGTTTTCTGGTGATAATTGACTTAGAAACCTTGCATCGAGTTGGTCGAATTTCACATGTCTACAACTCTTCCCCTCACAGCCTTTTTATCAAACTTTGGTAGCACCTACAGTCTAAAAATGAGATTCTATGACACTTCAAACATGTCAAGAGCCCTAGTTCGAGGCCCGACTGCGTGAAACAAGCGACTGCCATCGTGCGCTCTGGTTTCCAGCCTACCGAGCATCAGCAGGGCCAGGACAATGGTGCTGTTGAGGAGAGCAATGGTGCAGTAGAGCAAGTGGGGCAGAGGGCCGAAGCGAGCCCGGATCACCTGAAGGTAGGTTGTCGCTCCGGGGGCTCGCAGACGCATTTGTAGCGTGAAGATGGAGAAGAAGATCACCATCGTGGTTACTGCTATGCCATAGTAGTAGGCCCCACAGATGCCGTACTGAGCAGAGAGGATGGTGAACGAGAAAGAAAGAATGGGTGAATAGCGGCAAGTCTGAAAGGTCTATGAGACACCACCTTCTTTTCATCCGAGCAATCAGCATTCTCGATCGGAGTCGACAAATTGGATCACGATGTTATAACCTTTGTTATAGTCAACATCGTTTTCAAGTCGGCCGAAATGGGTTTAGGAGGGATTACTATTTTATATACGCATTATTACATTTGCATAATATTCATATAAAAAGAAGCAACAAACAAAACTCGAATTTCAACTTTGGGCAACTTAGTCAAAATAGGTTGCGATTTTGAGCTCAAGCTAAGATGGGGAGAACAATAAGAAGAATAGGCGACAGGAGGAGGAAGAGAGAGAAGAAGAGGATTTTGATGAGATAATGAATAATAATTGTTAAAAAGCATTAGAATATAAGTTTTGTGTAAATTTTTCAACAGCTGTCGCGACATTAAGTCTTAGCCAAGATAGGTGGAAAAAAGAAGAACCATAACTTTGGCCAATATGATTATATAATAATAAAAAGCACATAAAATAAAATTTACT